GGGAAGGGGGGAGAGGGGTAAAAAAAAAGCATATTTCACACTTTATCCTTGACAGAATACAGTTGGAGATATCAAAAAACTCCAGCACATCCAGGGGAGGTTTGATAAGGGGAAGGCCAAATCCAAAATAACGGTTATGGACAGCTCTCTCACCTCATGACTGTTTTGGATTTGGATTATGGTGTGAAGACCTGCAGGTCTGCTTCGTTCTGAAAAAACAGAATAAAGAATCTTTTTTTTTTAAGTAGTCAGAGTGAAGACAAGAGAGGACAGAAGGAGCAGATTCACTTTCCCCAAAGAACCTTAAAGTGCAGCTTTAAGAAGAGAAGTCACAGGAAGTTGCCTGGATGTCGGAGGTTCCTGCTGACAGGCTGAACCTGAGCTCTGCACAAACCTTTTCTTCGTGCTTTTGTCTTCCAGCGCTGCATTGGCTGCCAGCAGGAGGTTCTGAAGGACAGTCCAGCTGTCTACGCAGAGCGTGCAGGCTACCTGGACGCCTTGTGGCATCCCACCTGCTTTGTTTGCTCAGTGTGCGGCCATGGCCTGGTGGACCTGGTGTACTTCTGGTCCAACCAGAAGCTGCTGTGCGGTCGGCATTACTGTGAGTCTGTGTGGCCGCGATGCTCCGGCTGCGACGAGGTGAGGCATCCCCTCTGCAGAAAACATTTCCTGCAGCAGGAAGTTCTTTAACAACATGAAGATTATATATGCATGTCTGTGGTTGGTAACAATTCTCTCACCTGATGCCTCTCCGCCCTCAGCTCATCTTCTGCAGGTCGTTCAGGAGGGCCAAAGACGGACGGGCCTGGCACCCTCAGCATTACAGCTGCTGGCGCTGCGGCCAGAGCCTGGACTCCCCCTGTCAGCACTGATCACATGTCTAATAAACACAGAGGAAAATAGACACCATTGCTGGAAATGAAATGCGACATGGCTCCTTTTGTTTTAACGGAGTGATTAAAGTAAATCCTTCATCATAAAGAGCTGAATTATGATTTTATCTGAAACTCACATGTTAAACATCTTCATCAGTGTGTGAAACACTTGGAAGGACATTAAACTGTTTGCAAAGCACTCAGACTCATCCAGAAAGGTTTCAAGTGGCTCTTAAAGCTCTGACATTTTTCAGATGTTAGTTCAGGCTGCAACTGTATGGAAGCCCAGAGAGGACATTTCATAAAAACCAATAAAACATGTGGAAAATGAACAAAGTGAAAGCTCTGATTCATCCTCTTTAATGCCTAGCTGTGGTTCTGAAGAGCAGAATGCTTATTGATAAGGAGGGAAGAGCACTAGAAAAAAATCGAAATCGAGATAAGTCAGTTTATCTTAAATAAAGCGCATTTTTCTTGGATTAAGGAGGTAAAAGACATTTTGCCAATGGAACAAGACAATGTACTCCTAAAATACGAAAACAAGATTGTATTGTCTTATTTCAAGTGCATTTTATCTAATTATCTTACTTAGGAGTAAAAATACTAATTCCACTAGCAAACTATGTCATTTATGTGCTCAAATTAAGGGTAAATACACTTAATTAAAGACATTTTTACTTATTTCTAGATCATTTTTCCAGTAAGCTTTTCAAACTATATAAAAACAGTCTGATTTGGATCATATATATATTAACATTAGGCAATACTAGGCAGTTGCCTAGGGCCCCAAGGTCCTGGGGGGCCCCATAAAACTCTGTTTACATGTTTAGTTAATACAACTATTCTTCAGTTGTGCACATTAATCATGTTTTTGATAAAAATCCTTTGGCTAAAATGCCATCAGAATGCAAACTGATTATTACGGAGCCCCTCTGATGACATGGTCAAAAAAATTTTTTAATTGTGGCCACGAAGTAGTATTTCGTGGCCACGCAATAAGTATAACGTGCGTACGAAATACTATTTCGTGGCCACGCAATAAGTTTATCGTGCGCACAAAATACTATTTCGTGGCCACGCAATAAGTTTATCGTGCGCACGAAATACTTATTAATAATATTAATATCATTCCTGGACAACTGGGT